CAGCAGTGTTTTTACAGTTCTCTTAAACTGACTATGGCTCTTTGCAGGTCACCACCAGGTTCTACTGCACAGGCTTTGTAAAACCCCTTTTCGTTTTATAAGCTACTTACTTTGCCTCAAGCGCTAGAGCTACGGCCCCAGAGACCATTGGAGTTGCTGCACTGGTTCCACCAAAATCAGCTCTACACTCTCCACCTTGGTCAGTTGTAATCTAGGAAAAGAGCTAAAGTTTGCATGATTGTATGGAACAAACTTACAATCGTTTGTGTTCCATTTTCATTAGTCACGTATGCAACAACCATTTTGGCAGAACACGGTTCATCGAAAAAACTTGGCCTCCCATCAACTCCAATAGCTCCAACAGATATGGTGTATATACTGGATGCATAGCCATCAGCAGCACAGTTATCTCCATCTTGACCGCCATTCCCATTTGCCCACACATATATGGACCCTTTTCCACTGCGTCCCTAAACTCAAAGGGATAATTCTGAACATTATTAACTATAACATGTCCCTTACAATGGTTACTCCTTCTTCTAGTGCGAGTATTGTCATATTTCCTGGACCGCCTACATAGGATCCATTATCTATTGGCCCCCAACTGTTGCTGTAAACATCAATAAGGTTTCTTCCGTGGGATAGAGTTGATGCCACCTCCATATCCGTCTGTCCACCCACATCAAGCAGTTTCAGGCCTAATATATTGATGCACATCCTCATGCTGAACATGCATTATAGTGGCACTTTAAAGTTATTTGATGCGTCAAACCACAAAAACGTTTTATTGTACCGAACTCTTGTTGATAAGGAAATGTATTATGGTGCACACAATGCATACATCTGGTTCACTACTTTTTAAAACAAGCCCATTGTGTTACCATCTGTTGCACACTCACTTCCAAGATTTGACTCATGTGCTACTCCAACTCCACAGTGTGAATTGTCCTTAACCGCTGCAACAATTCCACTGCACCCTGTTCCATGACGACTCATTCCGTACGCTGATGGATCAGTGTCATTCCCAACGTAGTCATATGATACCAGTGGAGCCTGCCACAAAAAACATAGCCATATAGCTATACCTTCTTGTTTGTGTTGATTTAACTTACGAAGTTTGGCCAAAGATCCGGGTGTTTATAGTCGATACCTGTACATTAAATGTAAGAGTGACTGAGAATTGATGCAACAATCTAGTTACCATCATCAACAACAGAGACAGTGACATTGCAGCCAGTCAAGCCCTGTAGCCACGCCTGCTCCACTCTCAAATCCCTTCCTATGTAAGGCCCAGTGTTTAGCTGTGTATAGTGTCAAATTAAATCCATTGAGACATCTTTAGCACAAAGATGCATCAAATTACCAAGTTCCACTGCTTTTCAAAGAGAGGATCCTGTGGAACAACATAAAACTTTGGGACTAGATCCTGGAGGACTTGCTGCTCTGCAAAAATGACCTGAAAAAACGTTGCAGGGTGTGCTAAATATCTGACAAAAATCAGTGTGTTATACAGCCTTACACGCTTGTCTAATGCAAGTTTCGAGGTGTAGAAAGTATCAGATTTAGCATTCTTTTTCTCTCCTTCACTCAACTGAAACCGGTACACGTCAGTAAACCCCTCAACCTGGGTGGAATAATGAGATTTATAGCTAGTTAGCTAGCTACGTATCTTCGCACCAGGCCTTTATTATCGAATCCGTTTTCCCCAGCTATTTCATCAGCATCCGCCGGTCCTCCATCAATCCTCACTCCCCAGGTCTTTTCATGCGGACGTCGACTGTTTATGTTTTGTCGGTTGTTCTCTCGCAAAGTATTACTTGTGAAATAATCCTCCACGCTCGCTCCTTGGACGCGAGCAACAGCGAAAAATAGCACAAGGAGAGCAAAATGCATCTTTTTCGCGATACTGAGCCTGCTGTAGCGTAGTCTGCTTTTATCAACGAAGCTCCAGGAATGCGCATGCGCAATTCGCCTCTTAACCCATGACCGCGCGTCGTCCCGGCAAAGAATTAATGTCGGTCTTCACCACTAACTCTTCGTCAAAAATTTTACATATGTCTCATCATTCGATTCAAACAACAGCACCAATGAACTCTTTTTAGCTCTATACACTCGAGTATGCTCTGAGCAAATCTCCCAGATGATATTAGCTAAACGTGATGTTGTAACCTGGCTACAGCGAGTAAGATAAACATTAGTTTATGTTTTTATAAGGGTAGCATTTTCAAGTTGTGAAAATCATGCAGCTATTTTTCAACTACACCTCATGGTTCGTTATTATTATTCACTTCTTTGTAGCTAGTTCAAAATAAATATCTAGCTCCCCCAGGACAGATATCCACTATAAACACAAGAATGTCCCGAAATTTGATGTTTTCATTCGACTCTGGCTCAACGTAATGAGCTAGCACAAAACAGTAGTATTCAAGACCTCATAATAATTTCTGTCTGCATAAACAATTTGTAGTGCAGAGTTAGTGTTTGTTAACAGTTATTGCTACATGCAGATCTTTGATGAGCAACTATGAAAATTAATAATATTAGGAAAGAGAAATTCACAATTACCAAAAAATGGTAATCCATACCTGCGATCTCATAAATGACATTGGTCCATTGGCTAGCCGGATAATCCAGACAAGAAATGGAGTAGGGATTATTAGAAAATGTTGCCTCATGGTTGGCATAGCCACCATCTCTGGTCACGTAACCGATAGTAGCGCGGTTGGAAAACCTGGCATTTTCATCTTCACACTTGTAGATGAAGATTGCAAAGGATCTCTCATGGTCAGTGGCAAGAACACCTTGGAATGAAGCTTTCTGAATAGATATATAGTACGTTGGCAAGACACACGAGAACATTACCGTTAACTCACAATTTGATAGTTACCGTATGGTGAAACATCTTCCCATTTTGAAACCAGAAGCCACTGAGAACTGAAATTCGTTTGTTTGTTGGTATTTATTACAAGATTGACTTGTTCTGCTATTTCCCTTGAAAACATCACACTTAGATCATCGTGTACCTGGTACTCAATTCTACCAGATCCCTTTGAAATGTCAATGTCGGTAAAGAATGGAGCCACCAGTGAAAGTCCGTTTCCCTCAGAAAAAGGAAATGGTGTAAATCCTGTGAATTCACTGAAAGCGAAGTAACCATTTGTCCCAACCTGTTAGATTAACTAATAATGTCTGTAATAGTCTGTTTAAAGCATGCTTACATAGACTCTGGATTTACGCATGCATCCCAGAGGAAATCCGTTAGCAATTGTTATTGGCTCTGGTAATCCATCGTCTACACGTGCCACAGCACCATCACATCCAGTAGAGGCAATGAAAGTATATCTGTGGTTTGAGCATAAACGCAAGACAATCTGACTTACGAACTCTTTGGATGCTCAATATAGCCCATCCTCCTTCAACATTGGCTCGGTACCGACGGACCACTCCAGGTCTGTTCATCTGGGAGTTGCGTGCTCCCTCGAAACACAACAGTTGGCTCCTTACTCATCCAACTCCACAATACTGTCAGACCTACTAACACCACGTGGCTTTGCAACAGAGGTATATTGGCTCCCTACTCCATAGAATACCCCTACATATTCTGTTTCACAAGGCTCACTACCAAAGATGCCTTAAGGCTCTTGGAACAGGAGCATAATAGAGGCTTCAGAGATGTCAATGGTAATTTCCGCACACCACCAGGTGAATCGCTCAATGGTGGTAGCTCCAGGCCAGTCTGGTGTTTGGAAGGAGGCCCAGAATTATCGTAAATGTACCACTACAGGCACGGAGCGTTTAACGCATCTTGCATTCAGATGCATAGCCATACTCTACAGCTACATAAATGACCCTCAGTGTTCATGCAGTTGTGTTCACAATCATCTATGAGTCTGGTGACTCAATAACACTCTAAGTTAGTAAGAAACAAACATTATTGTAATCAATTTTCCCATTATTACAATACCTCTGGCACTGTACGTTCGTCGTCATTGAGGCTCATAGCGCTTCCCTGCAGTGGCAGTGTAGATCCCCACTGTGTTCATCACAGATATCTTCACAGTCTTGATCTGCTCGCAAGAAAAAAAAAAAAAAAAAAAAAAAAAAAAAAAAAAAAAGAAAAAAAAAAAAAAAAAAAATTCGATATTTGGTAAGTCGAGGTGGGTCGACTGCGCGAGGAAGACAACCACCGGACCAACCACCACACACGAGAGAGACTCGGAAGGATCGCTACGAGACCTATAAGGACCAACACCTCAGGGCATAAGGCAAAAGCAAAGAAGCAAAAACAAATTGAAACCAAAACAAAAAAGCTAGCAAATATCCGAGTATATACGGGGCCACGGGGTTGTGTCCAGAAAGCCGGGCTAAAATAACCCAATAAGTTATATAGAAGAGCAGAAAAGGAAGAAGACGGGGATCAGGAAGGGGGGACCACTCTTGCTTAGAGTAGGCCGAACGCAAAGAACAAAAGTAGGGGCATCGCACGAGCAGTCGGGGGGACCCCTCCCCCCTCCTCCTCTCTTTTCCCCTGTTTTTAGAGTTTTAGAAGACAATCTTGGCCTACCTTTAAAGACGAATAAGTACATGAAAAATGTTTTACATGTAGTAACTTGTATGTAAACTAGACTTTTGTTCGTCGGTAGACACTCTATATAGGGATGACACGGGTGAACTCTCACGTGATCCGCGTACAAAACGCCTCAAAACTTGGCGAGAAAGACTCACCATTGCTTGAAAATCACTAGCAATAGTCTACAGGCCAATACCTAGCTATACATACTCCCCAAGACTTCCTACGTGCCCTCAGTTCCCCACGAGAGAATTGGCTCTTACGCGATTTCACGATTTTCGTGTCATCATCATCATCATATTCTTCATCTTCCGGTTTCTTCTTCAGTAAACCCGCTATCTCGTTACCGAAAATAGTTGAAGTGCTGATTTTTCCATCAAACGTTTTCAGATTCACCAGAGGTGTGCACGGACATCAAGCGATCGTCTCTTTCTTGCCGCAAGTCACTACGGTAGATCGTTGAGCTCCTCCACGGTAGTCACTGAACAACGCCATTTTGCTGCTAACTCAGCATCAGTGAGCCGCATGCGCCGAGGAGGGCGTATGCGGTACGCGCGCATTACATAATCTCGCTCCACGAAGGATGCCTGCAGAGGACCTCTCATCCTCCAGCGCCTTCTGTAAGTCAGTATACACATTTAAACTGGCTACCTTGCTTTTAACTGTTGATTTGCAGGTGGCAGTCTGCGCCGGGTTACGCGAGCCTTACCGGGCGTACAAATTGGCCTTCATTCTTTGTCCCCGGGTAGCTAATAGTAATCTGATTACTGAAGCCTGCCCATGAAATCGCCACCGTGTGCCACAACCTAATTGCGTCCTTATTGGAGACACTGCGTACACCCCGCTTAGGCGCAGCAGCCCATTAGCTACTGCTTTCATCAGTTATCTCTACAACATACCCATGAACATCAGGTGACTGAAAATGCAGTGTCGTCATAAGCAGTTAAAAATAGTGGAAACAAGTGGAAAAATCATTTCTTCAAAATGAAAGAGGGATATAGGGATGGCTTGAAGCCCCAAAAATGGAACAAACAAGGGGTCATTACACAACAAAGTTGCACAAAGTTACATGACACCATCCCTATATCTTTGTTGTTTTACGGCTCTGCAATAGTGCATGTATATTTAGCTCAAGGGAAAGTTTGCTTATAAACAATAAAACAAAGATATAGCCCATCAATTAGCGGTATCATGCATGCACAGTTCGCCGAGGGTTTGCACTTCAGTGCCTTTCTTTTCTAGGGGTTTGTTCTGTTATAGATTTCTTACAGTGTGATGCTGGTAACATTATCTTGCATCTGAGGAGATACATTGATCCAGTGTCTAGCTCTGGTGACCATGGCCTCAGCATCCATCACTCCAAACCCATACTGATGACTCACTGCCAGACCAGCTCCATTTATTGTCGGAGGACCAGCAGTCAGCTGAGGATTAGCTGTGTACAATATCAGGTACTGGACATCTCTCCATGTCAGACTTGGACTACAGGGGTGAATGAGATGGTAACCACCATAGGAAGTATAGCTACACAATTCCCAGTTGTAAATTTTGCTACATGACACACTCTTTCCCAACAGTAGCTATATGTCAGACTGGGGCTAATAGGAAGAATGAGAGCTTTGTCTCAGGCGGGCTAAGGTAGGTCAAAGAGACAATGTCAGCCAACGTTATCATGGTAGCCAGGTTATCATGGTGGCCAGGTACACAATGAGAGCTGACTTGGGTGTGTACACAGCAAGGAGTATAGGAACTGACATAAAACCCACAGCAAATGCTGGGGTATTGTGCTTCAAAACTACATTTTGCACTAACAATACATCACTCTCTCCTACACAATGATA